AAACTATTCAACGTGAAGTACCTAAGTTGTGCTGATTCAGTTTCTATCTCTCCGTGCTGCCAGGGAGCCTAGATCCTATGCCTCTGAACACCACACTGTGAGATGCAGGCTGAAATAAACCACTCATGAAACCATGGCAATCTCCTCACAACTCCTGGAGTTGGCTGCTCCAGTGCACAGAGCCAAAGAAGCACATTCTGGAATGTACCAGGGCATATAGAAATACACCTTATCTCCCTATATTCAAACTCATGGGTCCTCTCGCCTGAATAACTACTGCCTGAGGTTGTCCCGATTATCAAGCCAGGTAGCAAGTCATTCAGTAAGCCTTGTTCCAGGCCCATATGGGCCTCAATCCTTCAGCCTTCCACAGATTCAACTAACCCATCTCCGGTCGCTTACATCAATCATGGTCCCAGTTCAGTCCTATAGCATTCCTGTGCCTCTGCCCTGGGTTTTTTCTTCAATTCTACTCTAAGCCCTAAATTTGCCTGTCTGCTTTCTCAGGGGTGGCCATCCCATTTTCTAGCCTGGAATCTTTCTTCTCTGTCCTCTGGTTTTTTGCTCCTCTGTTCTGCCCACCCAAATGCCTCCCCTGCTTCCTGAATTCATGAGGGAGGAATGCCCTTACTCACACCTCCAGACCTCTGTGCTTGTCAATAGAATCCTAGCAGCTGAGAACCCTTGGTTAATTTAGGACACGGAAATGTGTACAAGAGAGAAGTCAGTAACTGGCAAATATGTATGTATAAAGAAGGAGGAAAAAAATGCAAGTATTACTGAATAAGGGAAGAAAATAACTAAACTTTTACTTTTCTCACACAGAACACTTATCTGCTCTCCAGACCCCAACCCTGACATAATTCCTAAATGAAAAACTTTTAAGAGTCCCTGCTCAAGAGTTTTCAGAACAAGTCTTAATTCATTTTTTTACTTCTCTAGCATGTGTAGCATGGCTGACTGAGTAAATCTGGGGTTGCCTGAAGAGGTCACTGAGTGCATCCTCAGCTTTAAACAGTTTCATACACAACCACTTCAGAGAGGTGAGAGTTCTCTAGTTTTTAAAAAGACCACTTCAGAAGCTAGAGTCTCATTAAATAGACCATTCTGATGACTAAACCTCTCCTTACCAAAAGGAGAGTAAAGACCACATCTCTCCTTTAAGTCTAACTTAAATTCTTCAAGCAGCACTTTAAATCCTTTGTTCCATTTTCTTCAGACCTGGAAGAAAATGGAGGCCAACTGAGGGCTGCAGGGCTGCTGTGCCCTCTGGCTCTGTCTCCTTCTCCCTAAACTTACACACAAACCTAGAATGTTCCTTCCACACTGAATGAAGCAATGAGGTGTGAAACCATTACTTATTTATTCTGGGAGTGACTCACCAATCAGTATAACCTCGCACCCTCATCATAGGGGACTGATTTCTACCATTCCCAGCAATTTGTTTATTAATATGGTCTGTTATCCTTGTTGAGAATAGATTTGCCTAACACTGAAGGATGCCAGTGGTCATAACAGCTCACAGCTTTCCAAAAGTGTTCCTTGTCACTTTCTAAAGCAGACACCCGTGTAATCTATTATTAGCAAATCATTTCCCACCTTTTTTTTTTTTTTTTTTGCATCTTTTAGCCTCTCACCTTTTCTTCTTGAAATTTCAACAGTGACAGCTCGACTTGGACTTGAGTCAGGTGGCGGCCAGCACCCTTACTCTGTCCTTTAGTCTTGCCCTATTCTAACAAATTCCTCTTTTCTCTTCTGGCTGTTTTCAGTTTGCTTATTCTTTGGACGACTTTTCTTTTTTAAGTAAGAAATACCTCTTCTATCCTTGGTGCGGGTCATCTGTTCTCTCCCTTTTCGCAACTGAAGCTACGATAACTTCCTTTACCCTTCTTGTAAATCTTTGAAATTTCTGTTTTGCACAAGTTGAATTTCCTTTATCTGTCCTTTTTACTTTGTGTCTTTGCTACTCTGTCTTCAACAAAGTATGTCTATATATGTTCCATCTAACCCTCAAGGCCATTCTGTGATGCAGGTTCAGTTGCTACTGCCACCTTCCAAGGAGCAAACTGAGGCTCAGAGAGAAAAAGCTTTGCCAGAAGCTCCAGGCCAGGGAGGAGGGAGCTTGGACCTGTCCCTTCTGAGGTGTGCCTTACCCACAGGGCACTCTCCACCTCTGCTGCTCACCCTGCATTTCAGCAACTCCACTTCCTCCTGCCGGCCCCACTACTTCTGTCCCCGGGAGGGCTGTCTTCTCATTTCCTGCTGTGTGCTCTTTACAGTCCTTTACACTGATGACTTATTCCCATGGAATAATGTGATGAAATATGGCACCCAGTTTATTTCCTTTATCCACGAATTCCCCCACCTTTTTATATTGTTTCCTAATGTTCTCTACATACTTCATTTATTTAATGCTATACACTACAAATTAATGAACAGCTTGTCACCACATATGAAAGCCGGCTGGTTTCCTTCCAGAACCATCGAGGGTGGTCTCTAAACTCACCTATGTGAAGAGCCCTCTCTTCCCTCCATGTCTTCTTGGGCACTTCGGTCTTGTGGGATCCTCTCCCTCCCTCACTTCCTCTTCTCAAGCCTCTCCTTTGTGTGGTGCCCGGTTTGTCATGTGGGCTTTTGCATCTTTTTTGCTTTCTTTACAGTAACCCATCACTCCTGTGGCCTCTAGCCCCACTGAGGAGCATTCATCTCCCAAATCATCTCAGTGCCCACGTCACACGCTGTCCCCGCCTGTCCACAGGGCTGCATCAACTGCTATTTACAAGCTGAGCAAAGACGTTTTCTAGGGTTTTTAAATTTCACAATTCTGAAATCATATTTTCTAAACTTCATCCTGAAGGAAAGGTAGACTGAAAATCATGTCAAACATGACAAAGGGCAAGGCCAGGACCCACGGGCAAGGACAAACCTGCCCCTGACTCCAAGGTGACGCCTGTGCTGGGGGCAGCTGGGACCGAGGGCAGGACTTTGAACCAAGAGACACAGCTCTGGGAACCCATCAGTAATGCCAACCACATGTTGGGTGGTCTCCCACCCAGGAAAACCCACTAACAATATGACGTCCATAAGGGACAGGATACTGACACTGTTTTGAAGGCATGTGTGCTATTCTTCACTCTCCAGGAATCGGCCTGACTTTCAGTTCTCTAAAGGTGCCCCAGCCACGATGGCTCACAGCCTTTAAGGGCAGTTGCAGGGATTCCAGGGAGAGCCCATCTCTCTCTCCACAGTGACCCGAGCCGGCCTCCTCACTCTGACATCCAGGCTCTCTATTCATTTACATGGTTAATGGATCATTTCTTCTGGTTCAGTCCCTGAGCCTCTCTGTGTTCTTGGGCAGGGTGTGAGCATCTGTTTGCTCCTGTGTTAATCAGGGAGAACAGTACCCTTGGCACTGGGTGCTTCAGGGACTAAAAAAAATCAGGGAACATCACCACCCAATGACTATTCCTGCGCCACTTTTGCAAACTTTTCTCATATCTATGTGTTACTATTGACTTAATGTTTTTATTTAAACTGATTTTTTAATTTACATAAATGTGTTTTGAAAGGAACCCTTGTAGTGGCACAGTGTATGGTAAAACCAGTATCACTTGCAATACATAGAAGACAATCTCAAAAATAAATACATAAATTAAAATGAAACATGATCATTTGCATCCCAACTTTGGAAAAGCCTGAAATGATATATGTATCTTTCTTCGGTAGAATAGAGCAGATAATCCACAAGTTCATTTCTCTTCCCCTCTACTTTCATATAGTAGCCATTTTCCAATAGCGTAAAATAATTCATAAATATACTTGCTTTCTGGATTCATCTACACCAAATGGCTTTAGCCACCATCTTTATCTGTTTATGCCATTAACTGTGCTGCTGAGTTAAAAGAAAAAAGAACCATTATACCTAGTCCACTTGGTTTCTAAGACACATAAAAAGCATACAAAATATGTTTTCTATACATGTAGATAAAATTCTCAGTTATCACATTTTCCATTATTGCATTAGGATGTCCTATAGACAGACAGTTGAGGCGATTCTCATAAGCCTGAGAATTTTAAATACATGTTCCCTCCTTGGCTATGGGGGCTTATGCAGCTGACCCACACTGATCCAGTCTACCTCATTTTACCTGTATGTCCTTCATGATATTCTTTTATGCCAATAGGTGGCTTTCAGTATCACAGCTCTTTCTCTTTTTAAAGGAGAAAGCAAGTATTCCAGGGAACCGTTGACTCAATAGCTCATGAGAACATGGTATAATGGAGCGAGAACTAGTCTTTGAGTCAGAAATTCAGTTCAATTCTGACTGTGTCATTTGACCTTGGTTAATTCACTGAACTTCTCTCAGTCATTGGTTTCTTGAAATAAAGAAGGTGGGTGACGTTTTCCAAACACAAACTGTCACATGTGTAAGTTGACCAGTGGAGTTGCAGATGGTTCCATATGTACTTTTTTATGGAAAAGGTATGTAAATGTGTGCTTAGATTTTTTTTTATAACATTTAAAAATTACCATTTATGAAACTTTCTGTTTTTAGTTAAATCTGAATTTTAAGAACTAGAGATTAGAGGGATAACATAAAATGGCCAGATGTGGCTTCTTCTAACCCCAAACACTGAAGAGCACTGTTGCCAAAACACATAAGTGTGTCATTTTCACGATCTACAATCCATAACATTTGATATTCCTGCAAGTGCAGTGAGGACAGAGGACAGAGACAGAGACGCCTCCCTGGGCAGGACTGCTCCTCAACTTGGACATTTTGCGGGGTGTGTGGCTCTCATGGCCATGCTGGCCTGTGAGTGTCCATCCTCCCACACACCAGAGGACCCCCATCCAGCCAATCTCTGTGCCATGTTTCTTATATGCCAGTTGAGGGAACACAATGGATAAAATTACTCGTATCCCTTCATCACTGTCTTGGAAAAATACAAAGAGACAAAGGTTTCACAGGCACAGAGGCCGCTGGTGACCCACTTACCCACAACTCTGTCACTCTTGGAGCTTTGCTGTCCTCCCGAGGTGGTGGAGAGGTCCTCGGGGATCGGCATGGGCTCATCGCCCTCATCTGGAGTATCGCTTACTGGGGGGCTTTCCTTCCCTGAAGAGAAAGAAGAAGCGTGAGTCTCGGGCGGTCATGGTCAAGGTGCCTGGGCTTCCCCCTGGCTTGGCTTGAGAGAGTGGCATGAGGAGGCAGGTATTGGGTAGAGCCAGTGCTTCTCTGCTGGGATGCATATACCTTTTTCTTTTTATATGAAAAGTCACTTCTCCCCACACAAGACAAATGAGAGAACACAGATGTGCAAAAGGGAAGAAATACAATCACCTATAATCCCAGACACTGCCACTTTAAAAATCATCTTATATACTATAAATAATATGAGGTGACATCATTTTGTTTTTCAAAATGAACTAGGTTTTAGACATTCTCATGTACATATTTCCATACTCAGGGACATATTTCCATAATTTCATTTATAATGGGCACACTAGGATTTATTTAAGTTCTTTTCCTGTTTTCGAGTTCATATTGTTTTCTGTCCTTTTTTTATTATTAAACAACACTGTAACGAACATCCTAATAGCCAATCTTTGCACATATTCCTGATAATCACCACAGTATAAATATCTAGATGTTTTATCACTGAGTAAAAGGCATCTATATTTTTAAGGTTCTTCCTATCTTTTGTCAACTTATCCCCCTGTAAGCTTGTTCCAATTTACCGCCACAATGAGCTTGCCGCACCACACCCTCTTGTCAATTTGTGTTTGAGGATACCACACCAGGTATCCTGTCATCTGCTCACTTTCTTTGCAAGAGCCAGGGAATATCTTACCAGCTGCTTAGTTTGACTTAACTTGGTGGGGAGAAGAAGACTGGACAGGGAATGGAAGGGAACCCCATGCCTACTGGGAAAATGATCCCCTCTCTGCAAGCAAAGGGAGTCTGCTAACACAAATTCTTTTCTTTGAAATAGGAAAATAAAATATAATCCATACAAATACAAAAATTGTTTACACTATACAAAGTAAGATTTACAAAAATGAAATCGGGTTTTACAGAATACCTGTATTTATTTTGACTGGATTAGAATTTAATTTGGCCAGAGGCTCTAGCAATGGGGAATCACTCCTACTCTGAGGAATCCAACCTTCCTTGGGAAGCCACAACTGGAAGGAAAGGCTCCTTTCTCCACTGAAGCTGCAACTCCTATAGTTTCCACCCTTCCAGATCTAACTTAAACTTGAGTTGAGACACAACCCACATGCAAGAAACAGATGATGTGAACTAATGCAGTATAGCTACGTGTGGAAGACCATTTTAGAGGAAGGTCCTGAAGAAGTCTAATGAAACAGCAACAGCCTGGGAGCGTGTGCCTGCTGACTGAGCTGGCAACAGGCAAGGTGATATGAACACACAGACAAACCTAGATTTTTGAGAGTGTGTGCAAATGATGAACCAAACATTAAAAGGTCTGAAAAACATGACTAGGTATTGTGTGAAATGTCCTTGTTTGTTGAATAAACCTTACACAAGAGTAACACCAGCATTTCAGATGACTGGCAAGACTAGTAAAATCATTCCCGGTATATAAAACAACCCTTCCTGGAATATTTAAAATAGAACCTGCACAGGTACCAAGCCTATGCTCTGGGGAATACTATTTCATTCTCTGGAAAACAGACATTACAATTTAATATTCCAGCTTAGCTGTAATTACCACAATTGGCATATTTTCAGAAAGAGCATTATTGGGTATATTTGGATAGCCAATACAAAATTAATAGCTAAAGATGGAGCAGGATTATAAGAATTTCCCAAGGAAAAACAAAAGGCCAGCAAGACATTGATTGAAAGTGCTCATGTTATGCTAAAGCCTTGGAAATGTGTATTAAGTCAGTACTATTTTCATTGCTATAAATAGAATTTTTTTTGTTGTTTTAGATGGATTCTCACTCTGTCACCCAGGCTGGAGTGCAGTGGCGTGATCTCGGCTCACTGCAAGCTTCGCCTCCCGGGTTCAAGCCATTCTCCTGCCTCAGACTCCCAAGTAGCTGGGACCACAGGTGCCCACCACCATGCCTGGCTAATTTTTTGTATTTTTTTTTAGTAGAGATGGGGTTTCGCCGTGTTAGGATGGTCTCGATCTCTTGACCGCATGATCCGCCTGCCTTGGCGTCCCAAAGTGCTGGGATTACAGGCATGAGCCACTGCACCCGGCCTATAAATAGAAAAATTTTAAAGTAACAATTGCTAAATATCTTACTGTTTTCAGTTCTTTCATAAATGGAGAAAAACTCCAAATAGGAGAATGCAGGAGGTATATGAACCACCTGACAACTCTTATTTTTGTATAAGATGACTTCCTAGAGCAATGATGCTCAAACTTCCAGGACTTTAGGAAGGTTGTCAGAGGAATTCTTATTTTTATTTTATTTTTTTTTGGCAGCGGAGGGGTGGGGGTAAGAATAACAAAATAATCTTACACAGAACTGTAATATACACAACGGTCCCCTACATAAAGTGGGGACCTTGCAATTTGGGGAGGCAGGGACCCAGGCCACTTGCCTTGAAGACCTGCTAAAGTACCTTCATAGAAATGACCATGAAGCCTCCTGGCCTGACATGCTATCCCAATGAGTAAACATGTACAGAGCGTGTAGGGTGTGCATGTGTCTCATGATTAACCAGCTGTCATTATTATGGGGTGGGGGAGGGACGTTGAGAAACTAAACTTTATTGACTCTTTTCCGCCTATAGCTTTTCCCTGTGATCGCGCTGGAGCACTGCAGGATGCTCTGAGATGCCTTTAGATGCACAGCACCCTGGAACCCAGGAAGGATCATAAAGAATCAGGACTTACCCAGTGAAAAAATGTCGTACTTTCTGCTCAGTGCATGCTAAAATACATCCAAATAACTCTTAGTTACTTTTACTAAAAAATTTAACTGCTGTATCTATGAGAGAACAAGATCCACTACAATTTGTTGAGGATGGTTCATAATAACAGGTGTGCTTCTTAAGAATTACATCTGCCTTTACTTCCTGCACTGAACTAAATGTCAGTGCTCCAGTGTCCCTGATCTTGCATCTCAGGACATTTATTTTTTTCAACATGGGGGAGAAAAAGGAATAATGAAACAGTAGGGATTGCAATTCTAAAATACCATGGGTCAGACTGATCAATAGGAACTCTCTATGCAGAAGAAACCACATGGGGAGACGGGAGAATAAAAAATCAGTCTTGGCATGTACAGGGGCATCGAGTAAAGAGTCAGAACTGGATGGTAGTGAAGTGAGATATATTCACATGCCCACCAAGGGCTCCATGTTAATTCAAGCTCGCCTTGCCTGAACTCAGTGATAGTTCTTAAGAGGTTGTCTGATTTGCCTAAAAGCCCCAAAGTGTGAGTCCGGGCTGCTGAGAATTTCATCCCTCACGTGAGCCTCTGTGCCCAGGGCCCCTCATCGTCTGTGATAGCTGAGGATCTCCATGATGAAAAGTTATCACTTCATGAACCCCATCAATATAGGCACGGTATTTTTTAATGCATTGATTTTAAACAAATTTGTCCAGTTAACCATTTAAAATGTAAAAGTATGTAAATATTATAAAACACTAAAATGATTAAAACAAGTCAACACATCTCAAATACTAACACACAGTGACTAGGAGTTAGTTGACCCAGGACATAGTTCTGGCTTTGTGGCTTGACCAATTAGTTGTAAGACCTATGGGAACACAAGACTGGTCCCCTTTCTAAGACTCCTTCCACAAGTGGAAAAAGTAGGCTGAAAAACATGATTTTGGTCTATCTCACAGAGTTGCGGTGAAGATAAAATAAAAATAATGTGCATGGATTATAATATGCTAGGTAAACTTATGGTATTATTTGGTAAACTATATGTACATAGAAACATAAGGTATATATTGCATCAAGCTCCCACACTTTTCCTAAGAACATGTACAATGGCATGCAAACACACAGAGATGGAGACAGCAAGACATCAAGTGTTTAAATAGAATAATTTAGAAGATGCAATACAATTCACTTACTTAGAAAAATGAAATAAACTTCTGGTTAAATTACACATTTACACTTAACTTACCTATGGCCTATGTTTCAAATAAAGCATTACCTATGTGAAGTGTTCTGGGAAAACTGGATGAGATATGGTATAATTAGCTTATAAACTGTAAGCAGATAATTTCTCAAGTAGAGTATAATTCACTCCACAAAGTTCTATGATCCCCCCTCTCCCAAATGCATGGGGTTTTAGTATATATAATTGCCCAAGAGGACATAATTCTCTGGGTAAATACAAGCTCAAAATATAGAATCCCAACTCTATCAAGTAGTGGAGAAGCTTGCACTATAGGGTCCAAGTAGGGATCCCACCCCAGAGCCATCTCTGACTCCCTACTGGACTTCTGGTCAGTTACTTAAATTCCATGAGTCTCAGCTCCCTGCAGGTTGGAAATGATAATTGTATTTTCTTCTGTGGGTCCTTTTGAGGTTGAAATGAGAAAACACTTCAGGTAATGTTTGGTAAATACAAAGCATTTAATCAATGTGATTTACTATGCTTAACTTGATAAAATATTCCCATTTACACTGCAATATATACAAACCTTCTTTATGTAAGCAGATTATATACATCTAAGGGTATACTTCTGGTTTCCATATCCCCAAAAAACCACACTACAAATAGCATTAAGCCAATATCCAATACATATTTAGGGTCACAGGTGCCAGAGGAACCTTAGAGATAACTGGCTCAAGTCCCTCCTGTTACAGATGATACTATGGTGGTCCAGGAGGCAAAAATAACTGTCTCAGGTCCCATCGTGGGAGGCAGAGATGGGATGCTGATGCACGTCTCTCAACTCCCATATCCTTTACTTTCCTACCGGCTGACTCTTTAGAAACCAAACCAAAAAATAATGCATAGGTATAACACGTATTTTGGAAAGACTGCCAAAAACACAAAAGAAAGAAAAAATATGCTTTACCCAAAGAATTAGTGAGATGTGCCTTAAAGGAAAGGGTAGCTTGCTTTAGATATGCTCTCCTCCAAGTCCATCAATAGCATTTTCTCAATACTCTGTGAATTCAAGTCAGTAAACGCTTATGGAGTGTCTACTACTACACATCTGTGAGACACTGTAAACCAGGGCATAGCCCACATTTATACATCTCAAGGAACAAAGAACCCAGTGCTTTGAAAAAAGACAGATGTTAAGTATTTATCTGTTTATCAAGCATTTCACATACATTAGGTTGAATCCAATGAAATTGCTGATACATGAATATTTTATGAGAAAAGAGGATGATTTAGGAACATATTCTTGATAAGATTTCTTATAATCTATAACATAATCTTGATAAGATTTCTTGTCAAGAATGTCAACTCCTATTTGGTTAAATGTACATCCTTAGCCATAACTAAGTGTTATTTCTTCCAACTTTAGAAATGAAAAAAAACAAATACTGGTTTTAACTGGAGAAGCAGAGATCAAACTCCAAGAAGTAGAAAAAATATTCTTTGATTCTTTACTAAAAGTGACATGACACTTTAAGTGCTCTCATCACTATGTAGAGTGCTCAAAGGTTAACAGAAATCAAAAGTACTATGAGTGTTTTAGAAATAGGAATCCCTTTGGTAAGTGTACACAAACTAAATTTCAGACCAAATCATTTCAAACAAAAACAGAGTTTCCTTTTTCAGGAAGTCTTATGTAATAAGGTCTCCATTCTTGTCCCCGCCCCCAGCTACCCTATCCTTTGAACGGTTAGGGTGCAGAACAAATTACTTATTTTGTATAATGGTAAAGACAAGAAAACTACCAGAGGAGAATCAGGCTTTTGTTAGTTTTGTTACTAAGATATGAGATCAGAATACTGAGTGGCTATTCCTTATAGAAATATTCTAGAGATGAATCCCTAGGTATCAGCATTCAGCTTTGACTCTAGAATATCAGAGTGTAGACCCCTGCATTGGCCAAAGGGGTCTCATTTTCTTTAAATGCACCATGCAAAATACCAATTTAGAAGTTACCCAAAGTGAAAGCGACAAGGAAAAGAAAAAGAGCAGAACAATGAAAGCATCTTTTTGGCCTCTGGAAATTTTTAACATGCTTGGGTTTCTTGACACTCTAATCACTTCTAGTCACAGTCAGCAAACCCAGTGAATGAGATCCTCTTCCATGAGTGAGGATCACAGTCCTCATCTACCAGTGTTTCCCAGACCAGCTTTCCTAGGCTGCAGTGAGAGGCTGGCGAAGCCAAATGAGAGGCTATAAAGAGCTAAACTGCTTTTTTTCCCATTTAACTAGTTTTTTGCTGTTGTGCTTTTTTGTTTAAGAAACAAAGTATATGCTTAAGGAAAATAAATTCAAATAATGCTAAAAGGTAGAAGATGAAAAGCAAAGCTTTCCTTCTTCTCCTCCTCTTCCCTAACTCATCCCCTTCCTTCTACCATCAATCTTCCAAGAGGAAGTCCAGGTTAATAAATATCACTCTAGAATTTTCCTAAACGTTATGGCCAAGTATATAGAAAATGTGTATGTGTATGTAATTTATTTTCTTTTTAAAGAACGAGATCATACTTTGCATGCTATCTAGAACCATGCTTTTCTCACTTTCACATGTATTTGAACTTCTTTTCAAACTAGTTCATTCATATCCTCCTTATTTTTAAGAGCTGTATGTGGAAGTACATGGATGTACCATAGTTTTAAAATACTGATAACAATGCTGCAGTGAACAAATGTTTAAATGCTCTGTGCACTTGTAAGAATGTACCTCTAAGGTAAGTTCTTCAACGCAAAATTTGTATTGGATTTATACCATTTTTGTTTACATAGATAATCACAAGCTTTTGGACACATTTTCACTTTTACCAACTGTACCATGAAGTGCCTGCATACCACATTCTAAAAGTTAAAATGCCACATGTTCCCACTCACATGTGGAAACTAACAAATGCTGCTGTCATCAAAGTGAAAAGCAGGACAGAGGCTAATAGAGACTGGAAAGGTTGGGGGAGGGGAAGATAGGGAGAGATTTGTTAAAGGAAACAAAATTACAGCTAGGTAGGAGGAATAAGTTCTAGTGTTCTACACCATTGCAGGATGACTGTAGTCAACAATAATATATAGTTTCAAATAGTTAGAAGGAAGATGTTGAATGTTCCCAACACAAAGAAACGATAAATGCTTGAGATGATGAATACGCTGATTTACCTGATCTGATTACTATACATTGTATGTATCACAACATCACTATGTACCCAATGATTTTGTGTCCATGTACACAACTATTTTGTGTCGATTAAAAAAAATTAAAAATTAAGTGAAAATATTCAATGATATACAAACAGAGAATTGTATTTCAGATATAAATGTACACAAAGAATGTGGAAATTACATTGTAATAAATACAAAGCCTAACTCTAAAGGAAAAACAAGCTAGCCTTTTGTTTGTTCTTTGCATCTGGGAGAGTTTAAGTCCAAAACCTGAAACATAAATAGAGCGGCTATGGAGTGGTGGAGAAGGAAGCCTGTGATTGGCAGATCTATCTCCAGTTCCATGGAACTCAGAAGATCCTCTCCTGCACCTTCTCCAGGGAAGCCACCAAGCAGGGGAGCAGCCACACACAGGTCCTGGTCTTCATCAGGAGCACTGACTTGTGCAATCCCATAGAAACTTCCAAACACAAGGGTGCTCAGCCAAAGCAAGGTGCCACTGAGAGACCTTTCTCAAACAGAAGTCAGCCTCTGGGGCTGGTTGTGAGTCTGTGAGGCTCAAAAATGTGAAATACCTAAAACCCCAAAGTCTGTGAAAGCCACTACTGGGCCTGACGCCTCTGGATACAGGGCCAGACAGAAAGCTGTCTTCCTATGTCCATGCATTGGGGAACTGTGCGGTTTTGTTGGACTGGCTGGCTGTCCATCCTCACTACTGCCAAATGGTCACAGTCTGTGACCTACCCTTAGGCTTTTCCTACACAGACTTCTCCACTTCCTGGGTCTCCTGGATGAGAAGAGTTATGTCCAATATAGCTTGAAAAGATACATGGCAAAGGGGAGCCATGTTGTGTCCATGCTTGATGAACAAATAGTCACGACTGTGCCCAACAATTCTGTTTTTCAAGCTTCTCTCTCTCTCTCTCTCTAAGTACCATCACTGGCATGTGTTTGGGTTTTAGGGCAGACCAATCAGCCATTTTTCCTTCCAACAGTACAAATATGTATTTAACTCTTCCCATTTTTTTCCCTGAGGTTTAATAGTAAAACTAATTTCATCTTGGAGACTTTCTGTTCAGCTTCTCAAAGTGAGATAATTTGTAATGGGTGAAGGAAACACTCAGGCAATTTCCATCATGGTCTTTTCTTTTGCAGAATAGCCGCTAGTCCTCCCCCATGGCCACACCAAGCACTCTGACTTCTGGCCCCAGGGAAACTTTTCTCATGAACTTCCCACATGGGTATCTTATAAGGTCTCACCTGAAACTTGGGACATGTCTTGACCCTCATCAGCATCCATTGTCCTCAGGTTATCTAAGAAAGAGAGGAAGGGATTTTAGTTTAAAGCAAAAATACCAATAAGATATGAGAAAGAGAGAGAGAGAGAGATAAAGAACCCCTATGCTATTTAACAACAAGGTTATCTAGCAAGAATAATGCATTTTCCTCCTCACATACTTGCCGGAGTATCAGACTGGCACAGACCTTGATCCTTTTAAAAACAGCATTACAAAGATTTATAAAAATATCATTACAAGCACAGGAGGACCAAATTTGTTATTTATTGTTAATTTCCTACTGCATAATAACCCAAAATGCAAACTGACTGCAACAAAATTAAGCAGAAAATTAAATGGCCCTGGGTCATTGTAGGCACAGAATTCATTCTCTTGGCTGATCCATAGTTATGTTCTTTCTAATTTACTGAGCATGCATCGATGAACCTTGAGTCAGCTTGGTGACACGCGTACAATCAGCAATCAAAAAACGAAGCAATTTGCTGAAGAATGTCTCATTTACCCAGGCAGGGCTGCATATCTGAGCAGCAACTGCACTACCTCCATCAATAATGAATACACCTCCAGCCTGGCAGATGGGCAATGCGGGCGCTCCTGTCTTTGTCCCTCAATCTTTCTGGGCCCTTGCCTCAGCCTTCACCAGCACTCTTACACGGGGAGAAGTGACGCTCACGACGGCAGCAAAACGAGCCCAGGAGAGAGCCCAAGCCTTCCTGTTTTGCTGACAGATGGTTGGCTTCTCAGATTGGTTTAAATTAAATAAAAAAAAAAAAAAAAGAAAGAAACAACTGGGAAGATGCTGTCCTTCGATGGCCACAGTGAATGTTCCACAGAATGCACTACAAGCCACAAACACCAGGGAGAGAACCCCAGGGTCAGTGGAGTAGAAACAAAAAGGTGTGCTGTGTTTCGCACTTGGGGTCCTGGCCTGCCACTCAGCAGTCTTAGGTGCCCCGAAGTGGATGACAGCTGGCAGCTCCACAGATAAGAAAGCTATGGTCAGCAGAAGGTGACCTCAAGGAAATCCGCTCATTTATGCTGCGGTAAATGAATTTCAGGAGAGCTCCTTCACTAACCAGAAAATACAGTCTATTTGTTCACTCTAAACCAAGTTGTCCCCCTGTATCCCTTTTTATTTTTGGCCACCTCTGTCTCTGGTTCAGATGTGTGGATCTGAGCTGCGGCTTGCTTCAGCAGAGATCTGAAAACTGATGGATGATTCAGGGACCTTACCCTCTCAATTAGGCTGAAAACTGTGAGGGTAGAAGTGTTATATATAATACATCTATCACTCCATATATCTTTAATACCTTTTATGGTACATATGGAATATCTATTTTCAATTTCAGGAATATCAGTATTAGTCATGATGAGGATATACATGATAGTCACTTTTTCTGGATGGGAGGGATTTTTATCTATTTCTAAAAGTGGCATGAATTTTCAAGGTGGGTGTGTGGCTTAGGATTGCAGCCACTGGCCACTGTACAGAAAAAGTATTTCAGAAACCAGAGTAAGCATCCACCAGCACACGGAAGCCAGACACACTAGCCCAGATGCAAGCATGTGACCAGCACAAGCATTTCCAAAAAGCAATACGTCAAGAGTCTCAGATGCCTTTACTGTAAAAAAAGGGAAAAGCCATGATTCTTCTGAAACTGTCAAAACAATGATAAAGAAACAAGACAGACTCAAATGACAAAAATCTTTGTAATAGCTGTGCCACACTAATACAGGATGTTAGAAGTTAGTTTTTTAGCTTTCTGAAGATGTGTATAGTATTTTAGTGTGGCCTATCACACACCAGGTCTTAAATACCTCTGGTTTGGTTCGTGAAGCATACAGAAGTTAAATCTTGTCACAGCAACTATACCAACACGAAATTTTTAGAATGATGACTTTAAACTTTTTGCTACATAAATGATACAATCTTTTACAACTTTTTTTAAAGGCAAGAAAATGCTCATAATTTCTACCACTTAGGACTACTATTTTTTTTTCTGTATATTTATTTCTGTGCTTTTTACAAAAAGAGGACATTAAACAGATTACAAATATACTGTTTTAAAATATTCTTTAATTTAATACTACACATATCTTTTTATTTAAGAACTATACACCACCATCATCATTTTACTGGCTACACACTACTCAACTGATTTATATAACCAATGCCCTATTGTTGCATACTCAAGTTACTTTCAATTTTTTATAAAAAGACGTTTCCTAAGGCACAGCCAAGGCTCTTCCACCCAAGCACCACTGCAAACACCCTTCCAGTGGAATGCGGGGTAAGCCTCTGAGTTTGCTGCATGGAGACAGAGGTGATCGATGCTAAGTCCTCCAGACACATTCGTCCTTTCAGGGGGTGAGATGTGAGAACAGTTTCAAGCCAGAATCCTGACAAACTGTCCTCGGCTGGTACCCAAATCAAGCTCGGCTCTGTGGGAACCTTCTTACTTTTGCGGTCATTTGCAAACAGTCCCCGCACCAGTCTCCTGGAGGGAGCTGGGGGTGGGCAGCAGATCACACCACAGCGAGCACCTTCCTGGAGAGAGTCTATGGTTAGCAGCCAAGTCTGCAAGAGGCAGAGAGCTCTGCATTTTCGCACGTGGGCCTGCTGGACATTTCCACTCAATGCCCTATCACCACGTCCTGCCCCAGCATGGAGACCTGCGTTTTGCAATCCACCTCACTTCCAAGTTCATACACAATTTCAACCACACTGTTTCTGACGGCAGGGGGCTTCATGGGCTTATGAGTGCAGTTGCTTGGGGGCTGGTGCTTAGGGGATCTCTTTGCTTGGTGTGATGTTCACCAAAATTTTTAATAATTTCTGAACAAGAAGCCTCGAGTTTTCAGTCTGCACTGAGCCCTGTGAATTCCGTGGCCTGACTCGTCTGACATCATAAAGGATGACTTGACGGGCTCCTGAAAACTTCCCCAAACTCCAAACTTGCATCTCTTGAGATGAAAAGCAGTGACTTTCTCGTAAAAGTGGCTTTGCTTCCAGAGAAAGGCTAAAAGAATAATCAAACAATGAGAAACTGTTTGAGGGAAAGGAAACGTGGCCTCTTCCAAGACAGCTTACAAAAGGGAGCCTGAAGTGTCTAGAAGGGCACTTACGTCCTGTCACACTCCTTTGTTAGCACGTGCATCACTTTGGCTGTGTATTTTACAAAGCACTTACTGAGTCCCTCTTCTCCCACATGGAAGAAACACAGGGCGCCAAGTAAAACAGGGAATTTAAGCTTGATACGGCTTCAGCTTAAAAGGAGCTTACATTCAGTAAAAGGAGTTAATCACAAAAGCAAGCTAATGGCATGTTTTCACAAACTTTCGCCTAAATGAAAAATCAAGATCAGTAGGTCCGTAAAGGGAGATGCCAGAAGGAATAATTATTTCACAGAAACGTACTGCAGTTTTCTACTTTGCCTGGGAAACCCAAACAGTTTCAGGCAAGAGCTAAAAGAATCGATAGTAGAAAATACAACAATATCAGCACACTACCTTTTACCTGTGCAATTCTTACAAACATGAATGTTTTTATTGTTTTTTTGGAGCACGCAGTTCTGAATCTTGCATAAGGGGAAATAGATGCAGAGATTAAGTGCAGGGCCAACGTGACAGAAGCTGTCCATGGCTGTGCCTCTAGGAGCGGAGAGTGGAGTCTGCAGTCACAAGCCATCAGGCACCCTCCGCTCCCACTCTGGACTGCTCACTGACTTGGAAGGTCTAAATCTCTGTCTGTCTTTCCTCTGCCTTCTCCATCTCTCCCTCCTCCCACACCTACCTCCCATCTCTTTTTCTGTCTCTCCCTCCCTCCCTCTGCCTCCCTTTGTCTGAGAGAGACTGTTTCTCTCTCAGTCTCTCTCCGCCCTTCTCCTTTCTCTCCCTCTTTCTGACCCAACAGTGTCAAATAGGACTTACTTTCCTAGTTTCAGTTATAAACTATTAGCATATCCATAACTTTACAAAGGAGGAGCAGAAGCCGGACTAGGAGCCGGGCAAGTCGACAGCACAGGGGCCTCTTCCAGGCTGTGTGGGCAGTGCTGACTTACAGCCTCCGCGGACCCTGCAAGGCGTCCCTGGGGGACCTTGGGTCTGTCCTGAAACAGCTTCCTGGACCCTGCCTTTCCTCCTTCCACACTGAGGCAGGACTGGGACCTGGCTGTTCCCTGGGGAGAAACATCCAACAGCCCTGGGCAGTTGCTGCTTCCAGGTGAGGAGCCTTGGCAAGCCTGGCTAGGAAGTGAACTCATTCTAACTGCAGCACCCCAGAGGAGAGTCTGACCAGAGCCGCGTTGAGCCTGCTGGGGCCCCTGCGGAGGCGGGTCTCAGGCCTCTGAGCTGCCTCCAGCTCCCCTCTCTTTTCTGACAGTCAATACCTCTCTTCACAGTGCTTGCCCTGACACAAGGAGTCTCTCCCATAATTCTGACAAGCTGAGTCTAGACAAATGAAGTAAAAATTAAAATGCAGATAGATGCCTGTCAAGAATCACAACTTTACCACTTTTCTAGCAGCCCAAATTTACAGCTATTAAAAAGCCACTAAGTACACAGCATGCCAAATTAACTGTACAAAGTACTGAGGGTCACTCAAAATTAGCCTATCTGTTGGTAGCACACAGTACTTCTACAAGCTTTAAAAAAAATTGCAGTTGGCCGGGCGTGGTGGCTTACGCCAGTAATCCCAGCACTTTTGGAGGCCGAGGCAGGTGGATCACGAGATCAAGAGATCAAGACCATCCTGGCTAACACGGTGAAACTCCGTCTCTACTAAAAATACAAAAAATTAGCCGGGCGTGGTGGTAGGCACCTGTAGTCCCTGCTACTCGGGAGGCTGAGGCAGAAGAATGGTGTGAACCCGGGAGGCGGAGCTTGCAGTGAGCCGAGATGGCACCACTGCACTCCAGCCTGGGTGACAGAGGGAGACAAAAAAAAAAAAAAAAAAAAAGAAAAAGAAAAAGAAAAAGAAAACAATTATAGTTCCCTGAGACTTAAACAACTGCCTTACAGTGTCTTTCTGTTGGTTCGTTTTTAAGCAAATGCCTTCCCTCTTCACTGGTACTCTATGGGGGATTCTTTGTGCAGAGATATTTCATAACATGTATTGAATACTTTGTGCTAGGAAAAGGTTGCAAAGAAAAGGATACTGGTACTCACTGGCTTTGTCTAAGCAACCTACTAAGTTTCTAGCATTGAAGAGGCAAATGGTTAAGTCTCATAAAGACCATGGGTGATGTCTGTCTTGTCCATTTGTTCATTTGAGCACCCTGCATACTGTCCAATGTAGAGCTAGAATTCAACACCTACTTGCTACATATGTAAATGTGTCTTGAACTCTCCCAATTAAACCCAAGGCATCTTCATTATTATCTCCATTTTATAGAAGAGAGAATCAAGGCTAAGAGAAATAGCTTTCCCCAGGTCACACAGTTAATCAACAACAGAGCTGAGACTTGAACCCATGCAGTCTGATGGTGATGCCTCTTTCTCTCTAGCACTCTTGCCCATCAGAATGTTGCAGCCTGGTGCAGGGGTCGTGCACTCCAAATGCATGACAGATGAGGATGGATGCTACTTATATATTGCCAGAAACTAAATATGATCTTTGTAATACTCTGCAATGAAGGCAAATTTCATCATAAAACTTCTACAGTAAACTTCTGGTTATTTGGCCAAATGTATGCTATTTACTTTTTCCTCCCTGACAAGTGAAGCTACACTAGAGTTACATTTGGGGTTATTTCCTTAAATACTCAATGATGCTTATATTGAAGGAAGTAGATACATGGCGGGGGCGGGAGGGCATGGACCAAGCCTGTAATTTATTTAAAATGCCTTAGGTCACAGACCTCTTTAATAAAACCCATTATTCCTGCTAAGAGACAAGTCCTTTCATCTTCAGACTAGTAGATTTTACTTTTGCAAATCTATCATATCACTGTGAATTACACTGTATTTTAAAAAAGGAAATGCTTCAAGAGAAAGCTAAGGCAATATGCAAAGTCTTTGTATCTAGTCAAAGAGACCTTATAGGTTTTCGTAACAATTTGACAAAACAGGTTGAGAGAACATAAAAACTTCTCAGCACTCTTATTTCATTTCTGATTCTTTTCATTTTTCAAAAATTAGCTGCCAATCTACACATTTTCATGATTATTCCACAGAGTATTGCTGGTGCAAATAACAATGAAAAACAAGATTTAAACAGGAAAGCAGGAATCCAATTTGGCTTTCACACCACCCTCCCCCGACATTTAACTGAGCCACAGAAAACTCCTCCTGCGGTTTGTTCCACTGTGAAACTTTTTGAGGGCAAATCAGCTCAGATGTGCAATTCTGTCCTAGCATTTTTTATTTTTATGGCCAGGAACTGATATGCAAAAGAGGAAGGGTCAAAGGGAACTAAGGAAACCTTTCAAAACACAGTTAAAAACTATGCTGTTTGAATGTTTTCTTAGGAAAGAGGTATTTAATACAGAGGGAAAAGAAACAGAACATTTTAAATGCCACAGCGGAGCTACCTGTTTCAAAGTGAGGTATAAGAAAAGATGGCAGATACTGTATTCAAAAAGTTGTTTTAAAAATAGAGAAAATGGAATTGGAGACAGTCCTTTGTGTTCACGTTTGTTGCTGCAAGAAGCCCAGAGCTGGAGTTCAAGCGGGCTATGACTGACTGTCCTGACGTTACAGACATATTGTATTGTCTCTACCCTCTCATGGGGTGCACGGTTCACACAGAGAGGAGAGGCTTCCTGTCTATATTACTGTACCATCCGCTCTCCAACTACTACTGCTGTTTATTGAGCAGCCATGGGATAAGCATACATAGTCAAAATTGACAGAGGCTTTTACAGGCCCTCTTCTGATTTGGGCCATTGACATCAGCCACTTCCTAGGTAGCTTCCTCAAATATAAATGGCGTTTTACACTTCATCACGTAAGTTAAATTTAGAATCATTTTCTTCTGCCCTCCTACTGGTTTCAGAAGACCCTCATGCATGGCCAGGAGCTGTGCAACAATATGAAGTGCAATGAAAATAGAACCTACAGCTTTAAAAA